GAATTTGAAACATTTTTCATTCTTTGGCTGGTATCACTGCCTAGATTAGATTATTTTTTTAAAGTGTAGATTAAAATAAACAGTATTTATGGTTTAATTATTTGAATGACTAAGAAGCTCCAGCTTTATTTTAACTTCACAGAGGACCGGGAGATGTTTTTAATGATACGTTTTACTCACACAGGATCTTTCATCCAAGGATCTCAAACTGCTTTTCAAATAATTAATTAATCCTTGTACCTCTGCATGAGACAGTTATTATCTCTGATACTCCTGATGGGTAAACAAAGGCACAAAGACGTCAAGGCACAAAGTGCTTTCCAAATATTAATTAACTAACTCTCACACCACTGCATGAGACTGTTACTATCTCTGCCATTACCAAGGGTAAACTGAGGCACAAATAGGCAAGTAACTCCCCTGAGGCCATGCAGCTGAGTCAGGAGCAGAGCTGAGAATAGTGTATGACCAGTGCCTTGGCTAATTGTTCCCAGCAAGTCCTCCACCATGTTCCTGGCAATGGGCAGCTCGTTCCCCTGTGTGAGGCACAGCTGAAACCCTCTGTCCTCATCCACTGGGGGTCATGTTTGCCCACGTCAGGCTGCAGCTGCTTCTGAACTTGCCGTGCCTGGAGGAGGCCAGTGGAGCTGTGATGAGAAAGGGTTGCTGTAAAGGCTCTGGGGAGCTCTGAGATGCTCTGGTGCTGGGGGCTGTTGATCCACCTCCTGCTCCTTTATCCACCCTCCTCCTCTGGGACATGACAGGGTGTTATTTTTAATGGTCCATGCAAGAGAATGTAGGGAAAGGTGGGGACCCTGCAGGCCAGGGCCCCTCAGCAAACCCACCTTGCCTCTTGCACAGAGACAGCTCAGGCTCAGTGGGGATGGATTTTCTGTCCTCCCCAGGAGGAAGAAGGAATGGCAGGAAGCTGAAGGCTCTCTCTGCCCTCAGGAAGGGTCCAGCTGGAGGGTTTCTCTGCACAGGCACCTGAACCCTCACCAGGAGCACATCCCAGCTGAGCTATTTCAAACATGGGCTTGGCCTCATCAAATGCAGTCTCATTTCCACATGAAAGGGCTGGAGGAATATGAAGCCAGCTCATCTGTATTGATAAGAATTTGGCATTACTTTCCCCCAGTTATCTCAGCTTTCTGTGTACATTAATCACAATACAAAAAAACAGGAGTGAGGAGGGAGGGATGGATCTTCTCAGCTGTCTTTCTGGGAGTGGGTTTTTTATGAGGTTGGGAGTTTTTTCCTAAACTTCCTTTTTCCAGTTCCACTCTGCTGGAGTGCGATTGCTCCCTCCCCTCTGCAATTTGGATGCTTCACTCTCCTTGCTGCAGCTCTGATGCAAGCGCTGCGCTGCCGTGTTTGCCAAACCTGAGCTCGTCTAGACACAGTCTAACTGTAGCACTAATGTTAGGGTTCAGCAGACTGATCTCAGCTTTGTCATAGCTCTGCCCACGGTCAGCACTTTGATCTTTATCCTTGAAAACCACAGCCATTGACAAAGGTAAAATGAATTTCTGACTTTGAAAGACTTTGATGGCATTCCCTTGTTTTGGTTTGTGTTTTGTTTTTTTTTCCTCCTCTCCTTTGCTCTTCCAGCTGAACTTCATCACGGAGCTTCTGATTACAGCTGCAGCTCCAGGACCAGAGAGAGGTCATGCTGTCTCGCCTTCTGCTGTTTTAAAATCTGAAGGGGAAACCCTGGGACACTTCTGGGACAGACTGTGAGTGTAATGCAAACTGTCACGGGAATTGGAGATAGAGAGAGGGCCCTCAGGATTTGGTCTTGTACCTTCTTAAAAAAAACCAACAAACAACAAAAAAAAACAACAACAACAAACCAAAATCATCATGAATGGGGCCAAGTGCCAATAGCAGGAGAGAATGAGAACTATTTGGTGCTAGATTTCTAGCTGGAAATCTGCAGCCTGCCAAATCCTGCTATTTGCCTTCATGTAGTACAAGAGGTTGAGCTGAGACAAGGGCCTTCCAGCAGACATTGTACAGACACGTGAGGGATTGCCCTGCCTGGAGGAGTTCATCTTTTATATAAACACGAGGAGCAAATGGAGTGCTACTGCTCCATCTTCCCGATGGGAAGTGAAGGCAGGGAGTGCCTTGTCCAGGTCACACAGGGCACCTGAATTCATCTGTAAAAGCCTTCCTGGACTGTGAAATCCAGGTTAGCTGAAGTCAATGGGATTTTTGCCCCAGACTGCCGGGGGGGAAACTCTCCCTGAGCACCTGCACAGAGACATCCAGAGTCCTTTAGAGATGGCAGTGACTCTGGAAGCGCCGACAGCGATGGCCAACTCCAGATGCCCCAGAGTGGCCTTTAGGGTGGCCAGCTCCTGGCTAGGAGAGGCCACTTGTCAAAATGGATCTTGTTAAACAGCCAAGCAAGAAACAAATCTGCTCTCAAGGTGGCTCAAAGCTGGAGCTGGCTGAGCATTTTCCTGTTGCCTATAAATATCACATCTGCACACATGCATAGCTGGCAAGGAAAGCTTTATGTATAGGTAGTATGTCTATTTTAGAGAGAAAGATGGATGCATTTTATGTGTATTAACTCACATAGCTATATATTCCTAATATCCAAAACATTGTCTTTTCCTGGTTTTTCCAAACACTTCACCAGCTGATTCACAGATGCCAAATGTTGACACAATATGTTAAATAGAAATGTTGACAGTTTCCCATGGAGAGTTTTCTGCAGTCCTGGAGAAGCTCTACTCAACATTTCTTCTGAGATTTGAAGGAATTTGATTAACATTTTGCTGTTGCCCATTCCTGACTACTCTGAGTTGAGCTGGGACCGGAGGAGCACTTGATGAGTAAAGCTCTTCTGTTATTTACGGCCTCGTTGAAACGATGAAGTAGCAGGAATCTCCTTGGAGAGCAATGGATCACAGCACTTGTCAAGATGATTTCCAAATCAAAGATGCATTCCAAGGAGCAGCAAGGGTATAATTTTAGAGCCCATCAAGCCAATGGCAAAGATCCCAATTTTTGCGCAATATTCTTAATGGAGTCTCTGAAATTTTGGAGCTTCATATATTATATATTATGTTTTATACACTATATTATATATTATATTGTGGCTAAGAGATCCTGTCCAAATTCAGCATCTGTGTGCCTTACAGAGGAATGACCCTAAAAAGAAGTGATGAAAAAGGTCAGTCTGGTTTAAAAACAAATACCGTGTTTATAACGAGACCAAAGGGAGAATGAAGAATTCGGTACTTAATACTGACACCTGCCACTTGCAAAATATCTCCACCACTAGAAACAAATATTTTGCGAGAGTTTGGAAAATTTTGGTCACTCATTTTTTCCTCCTTTGTTTCCATTTCAGTCACTGCCCAATAACAGCACTGACGTTGCTAAATGTCATGAAGTGAAGCCGATGAAGTTGCTTCGTGTGCTTGTTCCAGGTGAGATGGCAACAGGAGCAGTTACAATTCTTACCAAAACAAAACAAGACAAAAGAAGTATTTGCTAATGTTTTTGGATATGGTTGTTAGGTCCCAGGCACAGAGATTAGTCAGAGTACCCATAAATATCACTGTCATTGAGCTCTGATTTCCAAGTCTTTGCTCCCAAGCAGCAAAGAAAAACCCAGCTGAGCTCTGGCCACTGGGCTAGGAACTCCTACTGGGATTTGCCCAGTTCTTGGTCCCCATCAGTGCAATTGGGACAGCAAGGAGGGGAAACCAGAGGCACATCCCATACAGTGGATGTCCAGGTAGGAAAATGATCCCCTTGTACATCATACGGCACAGGTGACCCCTCAAGCCTCATTCCTGTGTCACAGCTTCCAGCCACGTCACTGGGCAGGGATCAGCCTGTCGAGCTAGTCACAGTCTTGGTCCCAGTAAATATGGCAGTTCTGACACTGTCATTTAAAAAAATCCAGTTTCCCAGAGAAAACCTCAGACAACAGAACCAATCCAAGATATTTATCACTTCACACTGTGCTAATGCAAACAAAAACATTGCACGCTACAATAAATCCATTGCTGAGTGTTACCAGAGCAAACTGACATTCCCACTTGACCAGTTCCAAGCTGGCAGGGTTTGGGTTGGGTTTTGCTGTTAGTATTCTTCTGTAATGGAGAAGGCATTTTTCAACTGAATGAAAATTTTTGCCTCCAAAAATGTCCACTTTCACTGAAAGATTTAGAGGTTTCAATAAGAAAAAACTAAGACCAGCAATTCAGCGATTGCCTGAGTGAGAGATTTCTTCTCCCCATCACCTCAAAAAAATCAAAAAGTAAAATACTAATTGAAGGAACCAAATCCATCCATGTCATCAACATTTTTCATGGGGTAGAGTCCCTGGCTCTTTCATCATTCACTTTGCAATAATGGTGTATTTAGAGCCGAGCTATTTAACCCCAGAATTAGCTCAGCTGAGCTGAAAATGCCAGTCTGGGTTCTCTTAGACGTATATGAGAGGAGTGGGTGCAGTCAGACACAGGCTGGGCCAGCCAGGAGAAAGTCCACTGGGTTTGCAGAGGCAGACAGAGCTCAGCATTTTGGGGTGGACAAAAAGCCTGGCTGAATGGCACCATTTAAGGCTGAAAGGAGAGCCCAAGTGCCAGCCAGCACAAGGAGATAAGGAGCACCCCCGGAGAAGGGTACAAAGGTAGCACTGATGAGCAGGGCTTGGCTTTGCTCCCGCAGAGGTCACAGCTGGGTCCTCTATTAAATTTTTCTCAACACAGCAGTATTGAGAATTACACCAATCTAATCACTAGTAATGCCTCCCTCCCACAGACCTTTCAGAAAATATAAGTCTTTGACAGTCCTGGCATAAGCAAAGGCAGTCAAAGGCTCTGTTATCTTCTTTTATAAACTGGCTGTGAGCAGACAAAGGTCCCTGTCCTGCAAAGCATCACAAGTATCACTCTTGTGAGTAAAGTGGCACCTTTGCCTAAGCAGATCTCTGAAGGTGCATCCTGGGCTTAGAAACAAGAGCCTTCATCAGACAACCAAATCTTGAGTGTGGCAAAGCTGTTCCCAGTCATTTCTCTTATTTTCAATGTCCCATCCCATCAGCTCGAATTAAGGTGGGAGGAGGTAAAGCAACTAGAAGGGGCAGTTTTTAAGGCTGCACTGAGCAGAAGGTAAGAAAATATAATAAATTTTATTTCGTGCCTTCTTGCCAATTGTTAGAAATGTGCAGTCCATATGAATTCATATAACAAGGGAATGTTGGGAAAACCAATAAAGATTTTGTGGTCTTAACTATAATGAATGTAGTTTGATATAGAGTCTGTTTTTCGCTGCATGGCAAAATGAATCATAAAATACTGGACCTTGAAACTCCTGCATTTTTTAACAATAGCCTGGGGACAGTTTACAGTGTAATGAATTGTAATTAACCCACCTTCAAAATCTTTTATGAGTATTTTGCCAATTAGCTTCGCATGCTTGCTAATGACTCATGGCCAGCGCATGTCTTTGCAGAGCGGGGCTTTACAGAGCGGGCTTTTCCAGCGCACGCCGGCCTGTTCATCAGCACAGGGACGCGGGACGGGGAGGCAGGCACAGGTAAGGCCCAGCCAGTCCCAGCAACCTACACATTTCAACAGCCAGAGAGCCTTTGCTGCTCCCTCAGACCCAAAATAACTGCAGCAATGTATAGCGACGTCAAAAGGCTTTGGTTTCCGAAGGATTGCGAGGAATGCAAAGGGCTCGAGTCCTGACATCTGTTGTTACTTAGTACTAACATATATAATGCTGCTAATTGCTGAGCCATCTTTGTTTTCCTTACTTAGCACTAGGGTTAGAATTATTTTATTTTTGTGGTTCATGGCTTCCTGCCACTTGCAACACAAAGTCCACTCTAAAGAAAATAAAACAACTACCAGGCTGCCTACTAAGAGTGTGTGGAGGGCTGGGGTGGTTTCTTCCCCCTCTCCTGTTTTAGGCGGTGTTTCTGTTGGGGGTTTATTTTAATTAAGGTAAGAAGAGACAGCAGAGGTGGGACCTGAGTGGTGTCACATCAAAAGGCCACAGGGCCAGTCTCCCATCTCCCAGTATCCCATCTCCCAGCATAGCCAGGAGGCAGTGCAGGAGGAGGAAACTCCTGGAGGAGGCTCAGCAATCCCTCCCCTGCTGTACCCTCCTCGCCCCAGGCAATCCGCGGTTTATGGACTTCCCAAAGCAGAGGCTGCCTCCAGACCAGTGTGTTTTAACAGCCACCCATGGATCTGTCCTCCTCAAATGTTTTTGATCCCTTTCTCGAGCCATTTATAACTTTTGGCCTCCGCAACATCCTGTGGCAGTGAGTTCCACAATTTAATTATGCTTTGTATGAAAAAGTACTTCCTTCTGTTGGTTTAAACCTTCTTGTGTGACAGCACCACCAGGTCCCCTCTGATTCTTAGGAGGAGCAGTGAACAGCCAGTTCCTATTTGATTTTTTCTACGTCAGTCATGATCTGAGAGGCCTCTACTGAACCTCCTGCCTCTGTCAGCCCTTTCCACCTTGGAGGCTCCTCATCTGCTTGTTTTTCCACCTTTGTGGAAGCTGTTGCCCGTCTCTCCTCATCCTGAATGCTTTCCTTCCTTGTGCTTTCCAGTTCAGCTCAGCTCTCCTGGAGTTGGATGGCCAGAAAACACACTACCATGGAGCTGCAGTTTCACTGAGCAGTGCTGTAATGATGTTTTCTGATTTGTTCCTGCCTCTTTGCCAGCTCATTCCTAACGTGATAGTTGCCTCTTCTGATGGACTTTAAATGATATTTGCAGAGGCCTCCCAGCTCTCTTTGCTGAGTGTTATTTTTAAGGGCTTGTCTGTGTTGAGGTGCAGCGAGGGTGAGTTCTCTGCACGTGCTCTGCCTCTGTTGACACTGCACTGCATCAGCCATTTCACTGCAGTGCTTTGTGGCCAGATTTGCATCGTCTGCAAAATTTCTCATCTCACTATTCATCCTTTTTACTGGAATATTTATTAATATGAACACTGTTAAATGAGTATTTCAGCAACTCAGTTCTAAGTAATGCACAAAACCTTCCCTCTCACACAAGGGTGTGTGGCAGACCCCAACCCACGGCCTCGAGGGGACCCACAGTAATGAACACTCAGCCTTTATACCCATCTTCCAGAAAGACAGCTTTTAACTCCTTATAACTTCAGGGGCAACTTTCTTCTCTCATCTCTTATCATGAAAGCTCGTTGCAGACAGTTTTTAGGCTTTTGTGTTTATTGGCACGACTCTACAGACTCCTCTGAGCACGTTATCAATACTGAGTGGGTAAGCTGGAGAAATCAGTGATAAGGGGGCCCATCTGGTGTGTCAGGTATTTCATTCCACAGCCAGGGGTATGTCGTTTGTTGGGTTATTATTTTTAATAACTATCAGTCTGTCCTTGCTGGTCATGGTTTCTCCCTAATCCATGCAGACCATGAAGCACAGGGACCTCAGGTTGGTAAGAAAGACTCGGCTACAACAGTGAATCACTTCTGTTTACAGGTGAGCTGCTCACCTTCTGTACTGAATTCCTATAGCTCATCAGAAAAACCCCACGGAATCTGTCCTTAATGCCCTGTTGCAGGAGACCTCAGCATCCCAACTTGGCTTCATGTGGCTGGGCAATACCTGTTGATTCTCTCTCGGGGAATTGGCAGCTACACCAAGAGCTCAGTTCCTCTGGAATGGCCCTGTTTGCAGGTGCCAGGTGAGGAGATTTTCTCTCTGCCCCGTTCTCCCAGAGGGTGAGCCCTCACGGCAGTGTGAGATCCCAAGGGGCAGTTAGCATTGGCAAGCCATTTCCTTGTTTCACCTTCTCTGCTGTCCCGGATCGTTCTCACTCCCCCGTCAGTCAGGTGGCCCCGTGGAATGGCAGGAAGGGCCAAACCTGTGATAAACTTAACCTGGCACTCCACTTGTGCCTCATCCTGGAAAGGCCTGTGTTTGGGAAGCATCCCTGAGGACTGTGACTCAGGTCTCCCCTGGCTCTGTTGTGGTGCAGGACCTGCCACATGAAGTTATCATGAGTTTCTGAGCGTTACCCCTCTGGGTGTTGTTCCCTGTTGTTCCTTTGCACCTGGAAAACCTGTTTGCTGGACACACAGATGATAATGCACTGCAGAAAATGTGTCGCAGACATGAGAGCCCGCTGTTTGCAGAGATCCTAGTTGGAAGGGGAGCCAAGCTTTACTGCTGGAATTAGACACTCCTGGAGCAGCGTGTTTGGACCACAACTTTTTCCAAAGGAAAACTGCAACATCTACAGATTTCCCAACCACACTGCTCCTGCTGCACTGACCTCAGCTGCAGTCGCAGATCTTCAGCCTGGTTTTGTCTCTTCTTAATTCAGTGGGAGCCTTGCCTGTGCTGTGCAGGACTGGACCATCTGTGTACGTCCAGGTCATGGAAAAATATTGTTTCTGTACCAGAAGAGATCGGTGTGGCCCCAGTGCAGAGTGCATTTACAGTCCTACACATCGTGTGGACTTCTCAGTGGGGCTCTAATCCTGAGTCAGCTCACTCAGTGGGAATGGTGGCATTAAATGTAGTCACAGCAGGATTATATCTTATTTTAACCAATCTAACATGTCACAAAAATGTGTTGAATTTTTTTTTTTTAATTTTTTTTTAAAGAGAAAAATAAAACATGTTGAGATCATCAGTGGGAATCATTAGATACCTACACAGGAGAGTTCCAAGCATGGAAATATATGCATATTTGAAGTTACAACACAGTTTTCTTGGGTGGTTTTTTTTTTCCCTGCTGCACTATGTGTGGACAAATAATTTGGCAGCACTAGTTCTTCTTTTTTTTTTTTTCTTCTCATTGACACCAAAGCATAAAAGCCAGCAGTGTTCCTGCACTGCAGCAGAAGCTGCACGTGTGACACCAGCACACTGCCATGCTTGGAGCTGTTATTTGTGTGCACAGAAAGGGAGCTCTGACGTGTCTGGGTGGGAGGTGATGGGGGTGCAAAGGCATTCCAGACTGGCCAGCTGTATTTTCCCAGCAGATCCGTTCCGCTGCTGTGCCTGCCCTTCATCAGCTGGACAGGGATCTGAGGGCTGAAGCCAGTCCAGGTGTCCTGAAGGTGGGCTAATGCTCACATCCTATCACAGAACCATTTAGGGTGGAAAAGACCTCTGAGATCATCGGGTCCAACCTTTGACTCATCACCCCCCTGTCAACCAGAGCATGGCATTAAGTGTCACACCCAGTCATTTCTTGAACACCTGCAAGGAGGGGGACTCTCGTGTTCAACAGCCCTTTCCATGAAGAAATTCCTCCTCATGTCCAGCCTCAACCTGTCAGAACTCTTGAGGACAGATGCAATCCCGTCACTGATTAGCATCTCTCTTTTTTTATCTTCTTTAGCACTTAGCTTCCAAAACTTTGTGGAAATTCGAAAGGCTGGAAGTGGCCGCTGCACCCCTGAGTCAAATGCTGTCCATTTTACAAGGGGCCAATTCATGCATTTGTCTGTAAATTCCACAGTGGCTCTTTGTTCAAATGCTTGCTCCTTATTTAGGATTATTCAGTAAGGTCTTTTATTCCTGACATCACCCGCAGTTTAAAAAAAACCCTCTCTCTGTGTCAACAAGCTGTGTATGAAGCAGCTCCTTAAGCTGGGGCAGCTCAGCAGCTTCCCTTGGATCCCTAGCACTGAACTAAGGACAGATTTTTGGGGGGCTTTTTGTGGTTACCTGCATTATCTTGGTCCAAGCATTCATTTATTAGGCAGAGACGTGATTTTTATGTTTCTTAGTAACGTTACCAACATTGCAGTAATTTGCAGAAGCCAGGGGGTCTCTTCTCCAGAAGAGCCAGCACTTCACCGGTTGATAACAACTGAAGCAGCAGCTCTCAGTGTTCAGTGCAGTGGGGGGGAAAGGAAAAAGTAGCAAAATAAAGCACCATGCTCTAAGTTACAGAACTACCAACCAACCCAGGGAGTTCTGCCAACTTGGAAACGAGATATGGACTGGAGTGTTTCTATTTTTGCGGTAAAATGGAAACAGGTGGGAAGGATGCGTGGAATTTATCAAGCCAAAGAAATACTTTTTTTCATGTGAAAATTTGAATGGAATGGAAATTACAATCTTCCAGTGTTACTGCAGAGCTGCAATATTGGGTTTCTCCTTACTCAGCCTTCAGCAGTAAGGAACCAGATGCAGTGGAGATGGAGGTTTGGAATTTGCTTCCTAACCCCATCTAACTCTCTCCCAGCTCTGCCCTATTTTGAATTATTGCACCACCTGGCACAGAGGATGTTACTGACTCTGGAGAGAAGAGTCAAGTTTTGCCATAATTTTTTTATAGATTTCTAACTGAAGAATAAGAACAAAAATGAGCTGCTGGATAGCAGAAACCAGTGGTTTTCCTTGTTCCTACCTAATTTATTGCAGTGAACTCGGCTCCCACACTGAGTAAGGCACTTTGGCTCAGCTCAGGTATTTGCTGTGTGTCAGCACCGAGCCAGTGGGGTGGTGGAGAGACCAGAGCCACACCAAAGCTCTGCATTTTGAACCAAATTGCTCCCACCCCCTTCCTACCTCCACCTTGGAACAAAACCTGAGGGCAGTGCTGGAGTGTGTTCCTAGATGACTTACTGAAGTAAAACCCACATCCAAAAATATTTTTAAAAATTATGACATAGTATAAATGGGACAAACTTTACCCAAACACGTGGTTATCCATTGCCTGGAGGGTGGGACCAGCTGCATCGCTGGTTGGACAAACACGTAATAAAATGGATGGACAGACAATCTAAAAGGCTCTGAACTGCCTTCACTTAATTAACTGTTTCCAGTAAATAGCCCTGACTCTGTCATTACTTTAGAGCAGGAAAATATTGATGCATCTACTAAAGATGCTGCCATCAGCCCTGCCATAGACTTCCTTGTGCAGTGAAATCCCCCTGGACTGAAATGGATTTGTCCAGTTGCATCCATTGAGCTCAGCAAACAGCCTCTGATCGTGGCCATGGGCTGTGCTGGTCAGGTGTCCTGTGTGGCCCATTCCATGGCAATATGGAATGTCTGTTGTGTTGCAGGACAACAGGCTACTGGCAGTCAGCTCCTGGTCTCAATGAGCTTAAACATGGATTCAAACATTTCTCCTCTTATTAAACCGCTGAAAGCCACTTCTTTGCATTTTTTAATTGAATTAAGAACACTGTTCTGTTAAGGTTTGGGGGGGGATATATGTGTATTGGTTTTATATTTTTAATTTTATTTTTTCATGCTGCTTTATGTTTCTTGCTTTCAGACAGAAACCCAAAGAGCAAAATATTTTGGAAAAGCTGTGTGGTTGGAAGGTCTTTGGACTCCTTAACAGCAGGAGGAGATGAAAAGCTCACAAGACAGGTTGTTCTCTGGAGGCTCTCTGCCCAATCTGCAGGAGCTGAGGCAGGTCGAGTGTATTTGGGGGGATGGACTGAGGGACAAAACATTCAGGTACTTTACAACTGTGCAGCCAAACCATTTGTCACTTGTCTAGACACCTGTTTCAGAAGGGAATAAAATAAAAGAACAATACCATGTCTGGGAATTCCTCCCTGGTGCCTGTTGTGCGGCCGAAGAACTGGGTAATTCCCTTCAACTGAGTAAACATCGGAGGGAGTCTGAGACCAGTTTGGCTCCTGAGCAAATATTGTTACCAAATTCTCTGCATCTGCAGTGGTCAGGGAGATGATAACACACCCTCTCCATGTCTTCCCAAGCCACACGCTGGGACAGAGCCCTGTAGCATCTCAGCTCTGCTGCAGCACAACCATCTGTGTGGGCAGAGCTTCAGGGGAGACCCCACCGGTGCAGCCAAACCCACCCCGTCCCACCAAACCCGCTCTGCTCTCCAAGGAAAGGGAAGGGCTGCTGTCAGACTCACAGCGAGGAGCTCGGGGTGCTCAGCTAACAGAGCCTCAAGACAGATGAAAAAATAGAGGAGAAATTGTAATGCTTGTAATATTTTAAAATGTTTCTGCTGTAAAAGTTATTTTTTCACGGGAAGTGAAAATTAGGCAGAAATGTAATGGCCTTATGAAGAGTTCTTGCATCACACTTGGAATGTAATTCTGTCCTGAATCACAAGTTACTGGGCTTAAGCTACTACCTGAAGGTATTTGACTGTACTTCCCTTAATTTTTAGTAAATTGGGTAAATTTAGTAAAATTGCTGTGCTTCTTTCTTGCATAGAGAACTTTTCAAGTTATTTCTGTTCATCAATCACAGGAAAAAAAAAGGGCAAGCTCTCTGTTCCACTGGAATGGTTCACCCTCAGTACATCAAACTGTTGGCATCATAATTTGCCACCCTGCATCACACTAGCCATAGAATTCAGTCGTTTAGTCCTGTACAAAGCCCAATAATTTGCATTTTAAATATATAATAATATATTAATTTATTTATTATATAGAGCACACACAGGCTGATACTGAGTTAGCCTTGCTCACTCACAGCCCCCAGCTCCTGCACAGTAGCAATGAGTGTGCCATTGCCACAGGAAGTTCTGGAGTGCCAGGAGCTCAGGAGGCAGATTTAAGAACAAGTACTTTGGGCTGTCTCTGGGAAATAAATGCTGCGTAAAGAGGAGAAAGTTTCACCACAGTGTGAAGACAGTGATCAGATTATTAGGAAAGAGAACAAAAAGAGACAACACTGAGTTACAACAAAGGAATTCAGAGGAATTATGCCAATTTCTGTTAGCTATCTGTAAAGACTACCAAATATTCCTTATGATTCCTAAGCATATTAACTGACAGTTATTCATATCTGTCCGTGAAAATGAACCCCCTACAACAGCACAGTTTAATCACTGCAAATTCGGATTGGCAGAAAAAGCGCTCTGGGTTTTGTATCACTTGACTGAGCTTAGCAAATGAAAACACAGGAGATTTGGTTGATCCTGCACAAAGCTTTTGGGATGTGACGAGATCAGAAAGGAACAGGACAGTCTTGTGATTAGGTTTGGATTGCAAGACAGTGCCGTGCACTGGGCTGGGCTTGTGAGCTGTGCTCCTTCCCAGCCCAGCTGTGGTGGGTGAGGAGACCCCGGGCTGAGCATGACTTGTCTTTGCCAGCTTTGTCCATCTGGACAAGGAGCAGGATCTGCCCTGGCAATGTATGAATGTACTTCCTGCAGCACACAAGTAATTCAGGGACAAACCTGAACACTCCAATAAGGGTGACGGGGAAGGCTCCCCCAAACCCCAGCTGATCAGAAGATGATGTGCTGCTCTCACCACACTGCCAGTCCCAGTCAGCCCCAGTAGCCTCATCCCCTCCCCAGTAGACCCAACCATTGGCTCCTGCTGCAGACATATTCCCACAGAGGCACAGGGAATGGCTGGAGCATCCCATGCCAGCCCCGCTGCCCTGAAGGAGCAGCCCCATTAGCAGAGCCTGGGGTAGATTCAAGCCAGACTTCCTCACGGTATCACATCATAAAACCATCGTGCATCTGGCCCAAATTTAAGGCACAGTTGGCAGTGTTTGATACAAGAAAGAAACCAAGGACCGAATTAGTATCCCACGAGGTTGGTTTGTTTTTCAAGTCCCAGATGAAGTGCGGAGCCATGTGGAGAAGCCCTTGGTCCGCCCCTGAGCCCTTCCCAAAGGAAAGAAACGCTCTCTAGGTTTTATGCCCTTTGAAAACACCACTTCATTACCTGCCCTTTTTTTGTTGCCAGGAGAGGTTAACAAAATTACCGAGGGATGAAACATTCTTGAAACATTTTTTCTGGATCATCAAACAGGATTAGCGTATGCATTACACTGGGTGGTGCAGCTCACCTAAAGGAGAGGGGCTGTGGGGCTGCACCTTGTCCTCCTCTCCCAGGAGTCACTGCAGTCCTTGGGTGTGCACACACAGGCACACGGGGCTGCTGGGTTTGGGGGGCAGGAAAAGGGATAAACCCCAGTGCTGGTGCTGGGCTTTACTGACCCTCAGCGCATACACCAAGCCTTGGCTGTGGCATGGACTTGCTGGGCTGCAGCAGAGCCAGGCAGAGCTACACACTGTGGGAAAACTCAGCTCCCTCTGAGCCTTTGTGTCCTTGCTGGGTGTGCTCCTTTGTGCACACAGACCTGACAGCCAAGTGGGGAATGGTTTGGTCTGTCTTACCCAGAGAAAAGTGTTGTTTCCAGCTCCACGACAAACTCTCTCCCTACAGAATTTTTTTTAACCCATCAATAAACTGCACAGGTACACAAGACCCTCCACGTTTTCTTTTGCACAGCACCTTTGCTCTTCCAGCAGGCTGAGCTGCATCCCTGGCTGGTACCGGTGTTCTCAGGCTGTTTGTTCCCTCTTTTTGTCTTTACTTCTGATCTGTTGCCACCAGTGGGTTACAGAAATAATAATAATACTCTGCGTGTCCCTTGCCTATTACAATTATTTAGGTGGCCCTGGCAGCCCAAAGCATTTATGGTCATTGTAATTTAAATTTCTTTGTTGTAGTCTTCAGAATGTCCTGAAAATAGAAATTAAAACTAGTGGGAAACACAAATGTTTTGTAGATTATATGCATGTCTTTTAAAGGTAGTAGCCAGCTAAGCAGAAGGTAAGGGAAAAAAAGCAAGAGATCAAAATGTAGGTCAGGACAAATGCTGGACAAAAGCCCAACTGTCAAGGTCCAGGTGTCCCACAAGAAAAAGAAGGGGAGCAAAAAGAATTTTTTTTTTTTTTTTTTTTTTTTTTTTTTTTTTTTTTGTGGAGGATTAGTGTCCTTTTCAAACACCCCATATTATGGGAAAAAAAAAAAAAGATATTTTGGAAATACCATTGCTCTATCCCATCTGTTCCTAGGACAACCATCAGCTGCTAATTTTACAGATGTTTCATTATTTGTGCCCCTGGCTTGTGCTTCTCCTTCAGTCCCAGCCTCACCTCCTGCCTGCTGCTCCCCACGGCAGGTCTCTGTTCACAGAAAGACCAAGCCCTGCAGTCTGCTCATTCCCCAAAAACCAAACCAATCCCCCTCCCTGTCCTCCAGAGCATCCCGACTCCCGTGTTTCCATGGCTGGGGATCACCAGCAGCAGGACTGTTTGCACTCCACGTGCTCCTCTCTCTCCATGTATTAATCCATAGGCACGGGGAGCTCTTTTTTTAGCTCCCAAGAGTGCAGGCCCTGCAGATTCGGTAGGAGTTAACCCCAGCAGCAAGGGAAGGTGAGTTTATGGTTCCTGCAGGCAGGGAGGTGTCAGGACCCCGGCCATGGCCCTGGGGAAGGGTGCAGGGTATCAGAGCAAGCAGAGGCACAGCCCAGCCCCAGCCCACGCCTCTGCCGTGCCCAGCTCTCTGCCTGCAGTTGAAAGCAGCATCAGATGCCAGCGCTGGCCTTTCAGGTGAGGAGACAACAGCCAGAGCCATTTAAGACTGAGGTTAATGCTTCACTGAAGTCGTGGCCTTGGGCTACGTTTTTTCAAAAGCAGCAGCATTATTTTAAAAGCTTCACTTTCAGAAGTAACTTAAGCACTTAAATAGAAAGTCTTACTGGCTCAAAGTGAGGTTTACACCCTTCGCTGCCTTGAGTTACCCTTGCAATAGGCTCCAGCCTCCAGCCAGTTTGCTGCTCGTCTGGCTGAGCGACCACATCTTCAGGACAGGGACTGCTGTCTCTCCTCCATGAGGTTGGGTGTTTAGGTCCACCGGCATCTCTGGGTGCCTCCTTGTTCAGAATAAAAGCTGGTCCTTTTATTGTGGGGCTGACCCTGCATTCCTCGTGGAGTCGAACTCGCTTTGCTTTAGGAAGGTGCAAAGAAAAGCAGCCCACCATCTTGTTGCCAAATCATTTTCCATGGGAGATTTGATTTGAAACACAAAATACCAGGATTTATGAGAGGAACTGGCCACAATGTGATCATAAGAACATACCAGCATTGTAGTTCCCCACCCTTTGATCTTGGCACTTTAATGATTAATTAGTGCTAAAGTACTGGAAAAATACCACACTTGAGGCAGTTTAAAGCTTCTCTTTGTATAGATACAAACTATGACTCACATGAAAGGATAACCCAGAACTGCAAGAGGGTGAGATTAACCCAGAAGCCTCTGGTCACACGCAGATGTTTGCCCAACTGGACAAATTGGAGAATCTCCTCAGCTTTCGGGACTGTTTCCATTAAGCTGCCTATATTTTCCAGCCCTGCAAGAAAGGCTAAGTGTCAACCTGGAGGGAAATCCATCCCTTAGACAGAGACACATGTGTTTAAGGAGGCGTGAGCTTTAAAGAAGCATCGCATCCTATGGCAATTTGCAGAAAGTAAATCCTCGCCTCGGGCGGTCCAAGAGAAGCCGTTTCCCCCTTCCCCTGTCCCAGTTGTGGGTTTAAACGCTTCCAAATATGCTTGGGGTGTAAGTCCCAGTGCCACCAGTGCTCAGGACAAAGCATGAGGTGGGAGGGAAAGCTGTTCCTTGCTTAATCCTGCAGTTTGCATGTACAGCACCGAAACTGTGGTGCTGACCTCGTACACTCACAGCCCCAGCTCTCACCCTCCCCTTTGGCCACCTGTCCCCGTGCACGGAACACTCG